ACGAAAAATATTTGTTGTTATATAATTAGCACTTTAAATAATATTTGGTACATATTTAAACACAAGTATTGCCCGCGGCTCCGCCCGCGTTCAGATTACCAAAAACCAAATTATTAGGTTTTACATATTAGTATACTCTTACAATGCAGTTTTTGTATTTTTCTCAGAAATGAGATATTTTCCCGCGGTAAAAAGTATCCTATATGTTGACCCGGTTAACCAGCTATCACCATACCAAATTTCATGAATATCCCTCCAGTGGTTTTTCCGTGATGCGGTAACAGACAGACAGACAAAAATTCTAAAAACTATAGACTCGGCCTCTATATCGATAATAATGTCTATTTCAATAAAATTTTCAAAAAAATATTTAATGTACTTACAGATTTGGCTTAGTTACAATTTTATTATATGTACATGTAGATACATTTTATATTAGACTTCTTCATGATGTACATAAGTTGTATAGGTATTTTCTCAATTCTGAAGGGTTTCTGGAAGAAATCTCTTAAACAGATAAGTTATCCTTTGTCGACATTCTGTTACTTTATTTTATATCTATGTACTATATTTTATGGTACATAAATAAATAAAAAATCTGTAAAAAAGTTGGTTACTTTTACTACTATTTCCAATTTTATTTTCAAATATCAATTCGTTAAAACCTCATAGAACTTTACCAAAAGAATTTTTCGATCCATCAAAAATAATTTAAGTATATATAAGTAATCTATACATACCTATGTATAATAAAAGTATATCTTATAGCTGTCTGTACATGGAAGATATTTGAGATAAACTATTATTTGTTTTTATTAATGCAATAGAACCCAAAACAATGATTATAAGTTTTTTTTTGAGTATTTGTCTGTGCGTTTTTTCGCGCTCATCTCAGAAACGGATTATCCGATTTAGGTAAAGTTTTATCTTACATTTAGTATTTATTTAATTTCAATCGTTTCATAAATAAAAAAGTTAAGTAAATTTAAAAAATCACCAATAATATAATTAGACATATAGATTTGACGACACGTTTGGCTCAGTTTGTAGTGACTCTACTTGCTGTGCCAGCGGTCGCGGGTTCGAGTCCCGCTGGGGGCATTCATTTGTGTGATGAGCACGATCTTTGTACTCCAGTCATGGGTGTTTATATTTATAATATGTATGTATTTAAAGTTATGTATATGTACTGTATCAACTATCTGGTATTCATAACACAAGCCTCGTAGCTTACCATGGAACAAGATGGTGTTGTGTGTTAATGTCCCAACATATTATTATTATTATTATTATAGATGAATTTAAAATCCTTAAACATTCGACTAAATCATAATAATCGCTGTAAGACGTTAATAGAACACGTTTTATAAATTATTATTGACATATTCAAACGCTTCCCAAAGTTGCGGTTAGTTTAATTCGAAGCCTACCATATTTAGGTTAAGTTGAGATAAAATAAAAACTTATGTAAATTTAAAGTTTACGAGCAATGCTTAATGAATATCGTTGATCGGAAATACCGCAGAAAGGCTGGCTATCTTGCGGTCAGGTTACTTTGTTGATAGGCATAGCTTGTCATGTTGTAGCGATTTCTTTAATTGAGTGGATATTGGAACTGCTTAGTTGACTAAAAACCAGACCAAAAAGGATTTTTATATTACACCTTATTTTTAAGGGTTAATAAAATATTATTAGGGATTTGATTAGGATTACGTATAGATACTTATTAGTTGATGTTTCGTTATGTGGTTTTACCAACCTCAAAAAAGAATAAATTCACTTTAAGCGTATGTGACGGCATGTATTATAAACCATTTTGAATGATTTTATAATTAAATACGCTACATGGCAAGAGGACCACCCATAAAAATGTTGAATAAGAAGTAAAATTATATACCTAATGGTAGAATACTTATTTATAAGGTTAATTTCGACACAATTTCCACGTTCAAATGAATTTGTAAGGTGAGGAGGCACGTTATGTATATAACCGTTCATAAACGAAATTTATTGTTTAATTACAATTAACAGTATTAAAGTTATCAAATTTAATATGTTTTATGTTATCTATTATTTTTACTCTTGTATAAGTAAATTCAAATGATTTTTTTACCAGAATAATGAAAGTTAGTAAGATAAAATATAATACAATATGATATATTAGTGAAAGAAGGTGAAAAGAGTATACAGTCATGATTTCTAAAACACTTCAAATATCCACATAAACATTGAAATTCATGGTGTTATCTTCGTGTGGTCTGCCGCAGGGTGTATCAATTACTGCATTGTCTCTCTAATAGCTTGCAGCTTCACGCCTCGGCTCAGCCTCCGGAGATGCATCTTTACACCTGGATCTCTCATCTTAAAATATATTTTTAATTTTATAGTGTAAATAACCGTAAAGTATTTGCAAGATTTTCCAATTTCCTTAATATGACTGAATAATAATTCTATTCCACTCTTCGGCTCCGACGCTAAGATGTCATAACAAATTAACAAACTAACCCAAATATTTATACAATTAATTAAATTAAACAAAAATATGATAAAAATTGCTAAAGCATTCTTTACAAATCACATAAGCTTAAATGAGGAGCATTTATGAGATAAATATTCATATACTATCATTTAGTATAAGTACCTATAAAAAGTATTTAGATTATATAGAATATATATATATATATATACATATATATATATATATATACATATATATATATACGCTTTTTACTCTTACATATATCCTATTAAACAACGACGGTTGCACCTCTCAGTGGCCTTGAGCGAACATCTCTATGATTAACTAAGATTGATATCTGTCTGTCTGATGAAATACACGAGAAATCCATAAAACTGGTTTTTGCCATTAGATCAATCATGATTTTCGGTTACGATTTCCCGCTACTAGCTAAATGTAATCTTTATTACCGCAGATAATTTTATTTATACTTTTAATTGGTAAGAATTTTTATTTCGTTTCGACCACTTAGTAATTTGAATCATTTTACAAGAAGATATGTATATCTATTAATAATTTTAAAAAGCTACATTTTATAAGCGTAATATATTTCGAGTCTAATTTATATATAATAATAGTTTTTATAAAAACTTTTTTAATAACCGTTTGAAATTTTCATAGACACTAGATATATAACCTCATTTTAACGTATCCATTACAAATATCTAAAGCACATCACTTTAAAAAAAACTGACACATCTAAAGCCACACGCAGAAGTTAGTATAAGTATGATATTAATAAAGTTATCCCCTTGTGTGGGCAGGAAACCGTTGTAGACCTTCACGATCCATACATATGTCATAATTCTGAAAGAGTTTCGACGTGTTACCGTAAAACTACCTACGTCCGACCAAATTTCTGACATCTCCATTTTTTGTATTTCATTCCCCTTTTATATTGTTAATTTATATCTTCATGCAATGCACTGATTAATTTAATTTCTTAATAGCCGACTGTAATCTTTTAATTCGATTTTGACACAGATGACAGTTTGGCTCCATAAGAAAAAATAAGGATTATAAATTTATATGATTACTAGCATTGTCCGCGGCTCCGCCCGCGTTCAGATGATCAAAAACCAAATTCTTAGGTTTTACATATTAGTATACTCTTACATTGCAGTTTTTGTATTTTTTCTCAGAAATGAGACATTTTCCCGCGGTAAAATGTATCCTATATGTTGACCCGGATCAACCAGGAACCAGCTATCGCAATACCAAGTTTTTCTGTGATGCGGTAACAGACGGACAGACAGACAAATTCTAAAAACTATTGATTCGGCCTCTGTATCGATAATAATGTTTATTTCAATAAGATTTTCCAAAAAATGTACAGATTCGGCTTAGTTACAGTTTTATTATATGTATAGATTATTATGTCTTAACCGCTATGCAATGGTTTCTTGGGTGGGATTTCTAATTTAGAACACAAATATTTAATGAATTTATTATGACTGAATAAAAATAATATTAACATAATAAAAATGTCTAGTTACCATATAAAGGGATACTTATTGACAGTTTTTGATTGATCTCGAAATAATACGAATAACAATAGATATAACCATACTTAAAAAAAGAGTCTAAGAAAACATGTATTATCGAAAGTTTCTAATCAGCAAAATATTACAAAGTAAAAAAAAACGTTTAAAAAATTAATTTCTCTTCATCATAGTAGTATTGGGATTTAGGAAGGAATATGAACTTGTCAATTCTAACACATCACCAGTTATTAAGCCCACTGAAATCGACATGGTTTTTTGTAAATTATTTTTTGCGGCCTCGTCTTAGTCATAGCCGTGATATTAAAACGCTATTAGTACAGATGGAGGCAAGATATATCATTTTAGGGCGGTGATTTTATCGCTCCTAAATGCGGACAAGAATTTCGATGTCTCAATTTTTTTGTGGTTCTTTCGCGATCGAAAACAATGTTCAGACTGCCATTAACAGGTCGGACTGTAGGCACAGAGTAGGTAGTTACAGCTGCAAGTTGTATTTTATGGGTATTTTTTTATAATAAATAGTTCTTGTTGCGTTTATTTTTAAGTTTGTATAAAAAATATCGATTGAAGAAAGTTATTTATGCAATAATATCCTCCTAAACGATTTTGGGCATGGCGGTCAATCTTGTTGAGATTGCCACCTGTGCAAGCTATATTATAGTACATACACGAACATGTGCGCAGACGCAAGTGAACTCTTAATTTCTTTTGAATATAACCACTGTATTAATTTGACATCTATTATATGATATACTCCTAAACATACATATTATGTTACGTACATTGTAAGTACCTACTTAAAACTACGACAAATATATTTAAATGGTTTTTTTAATCATTAAATGTATTAACAAATTTAATAATCAGTAATTGTGAGAGCACAATTATTTTTCTCATAATAAATATTCGTATGTGAGACCCTATTAGTTCCTCTGTTAATAACCTACTCTGTGTCATACTCGTAGTATTAATGCGAAATGAATTCGGTCGGGTCGCCCGATGATTGTTTATATTCTAATCGCTTCGGACTTTGGAATAGACCTCCCTGGCCTCCTTTCTGGCACTTGGTAGGTGGTAATGATTGCGGTTTTTGGCATATACATAATTCATAATTTTTTAAGAAATATTTTGTTTTAAGATTAAATTATTTAAAAATATTCTTTGGTAATATGGAAAAAACCTTTTTTTTAATTATTTATCTATTTTTTAAAGACTGAAGGTAAGTCTAACCGATGCATAAATAGGAGTTAAATATATTAAGCAATATATTAAATTACAGTATAAGCACATACTTTACGCTTACAGCGGGCCATTTTTAAGTATAAACTTTAAGGTTTTTGTGGTTTAACATTAAACGTGACTAAATATTTTTAACAAATAGATTGGTACCTAACATAATGCCAAAAAATATTTCTCTATAAAATATTTATATATAAACCTGTTCAAACAAACAATGAAACCATATATATATGCCTAGGTACTTTTGTTGAAACTAACTACCTATAATTTATTTTTTCACTTCAAAAACCCTCTCATATTACAAGAAAAACTGTAAACTAAAAGTAAATATTTATACATATGTACCTATATAACAATCAAATATATAAATCTCATCCTGCCGAAAGCTTTATTTGCCTCGATCCAATGCATGGTATTGTAAAGCGTCCATGCATGAAATAACGATGGGATTAACAGAAGATGACATCGTATATTTTCATTATCGTTGTCGACTTCATATTTATATACTTTTATTGAAATCAGGCTTGTAATGGCTATACTTAAATTATTATGATCATTAAATACAGTTAATAAGATCATTAAAAATTTGGAATTTTGTTTTTCATACATATTTGTATAATAGAATATATGAATAAACATACATACATACAAGTTTGATGGTAGTATTTTTTTCTTATTAACTAAAAATGTTCTTTAAAACCCATAGTAATATATCGTACAAAATTAATATTCTTTTAAGCCTAATTGTATGATACTCGTAAGTTTTATAATGGGTTTAAAGTTGAATATACTTCTTGAGCAAAGAAATCGGTTAATAACATATTGAAAATATCAATAGCTAAACTGCCAAGTCATAGATAAATCATCAGTGAGAAGTGATGAATTTGGCGTTGCCTACCACCAGCTACTCATAAAACTAGGGGCAAAAGCTTTTTTCAACTCGATCGCGTTGGGAGGCGACCACACTGCGTCAATAGTACCGCACTATTAGTAAACATAATAAAACCTTAATATTTACGCTCACTCTGAACAATAAAAGCACAATAAGCTCTGTAAAAATGCTATCTGCTTTTCCGAATTAAATCTATCGATATTGTGTCTTAAATCAATCAAATAAAGTCAGTTTTAGAATGAATTGTTATAATAATATATGACCTTCTTTATCGATGCATCTGGTAACTTATTTGTAGTTGTGTATTGTTTTAGAAGGATATTTGCGTTTCGTAAGATATGGGAAAGACTGTGAATCATAAGCTTTCTTATTTGTGGCAGGAGGTTGGCTATTGGTACTGTAATTAAGTTACGTTTAAGTGAATTGCTTAATTCATTTTTTTTTAATTTTTTTTTGTCTGGATCTAGATATAAATGTAACTTGAACATCTTTATATAATATACTCTGTATATATATATATGTAATTAGCAATAATTTGTACTATTAAATGCACATTAGTAACACGTGTTTTCCATTATAAGAGCTTAATTACTACACATTTTTTCTACTAATAACATTCCTAAGAGTCATGAATATATTTCTTTATCTATATACATATATTTTATTAAACGTGAACGAAGAGAGGTAATACCAATATCTACTACATAGGTATGTATGTATGTACATAAGTCTATTTTTGTCTTATGTTTGATTTTCTAGAGTTACTAGTTACTAAAGTACTAAGTAATACTATCTTACATTTAATATTTTACGTTTTAAATAAAACTATCTTTTCAAGAGAGACTTACCCATTATCGTCGTGAATCAAAACTGAAAATCTACGAAATAAACCGAAAGGATAGTTTTATATAAGAGTATTAAGAATTAGAAGAAATGTTTTACAATTATACTTTATATATTGAAAACATATAATAATTATATATTAAATGAGAAAGTATGTATGGAATTTAATTTATTGGAGCATCCGAGCAACGTATTTATTTCATATGTTGCATAGAGTTGACTAACTCGACTAAGATTTTAGCTATATATTTATATGAGCAACAAATAACTTGTGGCTTTACTAATATTATATATTCATACATATTAGCAAAAAACTAGTGATAATTCATTTTATTTCAATTTTTGTTTAAAAAACCGTAACATGTTAACAGCTTTTACCTGAGCTTTATTTGAAGATTTCTGTTAAATTGGTCGTTACTTATATTTTAATTCTAACACAATTGACAATTATTGACGCTTAACGGAAGTCCGTAACGAATTTTGCTACTTCACTTATTTAGTTTAGAAAATAGTACTTTAAAACTATATCATTAAAGTTAAAATTGTCTTATCATGTAAGAATTTTCTGGGAATAACGAACACTGTTCTTTAATGAAGTCCTTACTTGTTCTAAAGGTTAATTTCATGGTGTCCGTTGAAAAGAATTCTTCTATACTGAATGAACAACCATTTATGGGAAAATGTACCTTAACTTTATTGTATAGAGCTTAAAATACTGTCATTAATACTGGAGAAAACCAGTAGAGAATCCACTAAATTTGGTTATACTTCTGTTTCAATGAATGGAAGAAAATTAGCCAATTTTGTTCTGAACCTTTTTTGATATTTGAATATAAACCTTAAGCGTTTGTCTTAAAGTTTTCAATATAAACCAAATTGCAACAGAATTCCGTTGGGACGTATTATGACAATTGATAGGACTTAATTATTTAGTATTGTGGATTTACAATGGTTGTTGTAAATTATTACTGATGGACCTACTGTTGGATCTTGTGTTTCAATTATAGGCAATTTCCTTAAATTTTAAAGCTTTTCAGTCATTTACTACCGCAAAAAGCCACTATTGATTTATAAAACGAAATAAATTTGTTTGATTTGATAGATTAACTCAACATTTATGTGTTTAAAAGACTATCAGAGTAACTTATTTTCAGATAGCTATTAAATAAGTGCTAAAAATATGTGAACTTTCAATAGATTTAATGCATGATTGAACATTGAAATTAATTTGATTGCATTTAGTCATATGTTATCGTAGTACAATACGTTGTTTTAGAGTTATAAACTAGAAATATTCATTTAAAATCACTTAAAGCTCCAGGTGACGACACGACAAATAATGTACCATGTAATATAACATCTGTCTCTAAAACGGAACTTCTGTACACAACTATTCAATTAGCCATGACATTGTCATATGATGAACACATGTGAGCGAATGACACGCGCCGTTTTTTATCTAAGCACTTTAAACTTATCCACTTAAGTATGATTCAAGTATGGCTTACTCGTTAAATACGTATTTTATTTGTTACACATATACAATTTTTATTATAAAATAGGTAATATCTTTAAGCGAAAAAATATGAAAGTTTGCTATTATTTAAATAAAAAAATATGTTCCTAATTAAAGAATGAAATAGTTATTTTTATCAATAGATATAATATGTTTTGATTAATTTGAATAATTGCTTTGACAGAATGTGGCGTACATTCATTACAGTAACTGCGTTATATGGATTAGACCGCACGCGTTGATGTCTTTATAAGGCGAAGTGTTTACAAGTTCATATTGGCCAATATATAATATATCCTTTTTATAGTTTTTGTTATATTTTAATATAAATAATTATTTTTTCTTTTTTAATTTCGGCTAATTGTTAAATCGACATAAATTAATACTGGGTTATAATAATGATTCATGACATAATATAAAACAAAAGTTATTAAAATATGTACCTACAAAATACCTATTATGTCTCTGAGAAAATCAAAATTTAACACATTCTGATATAAGCCTATAGAGATATGTTTTATTATATATTAAAAAAATACTTCAATACATATCAAAACATACAAATTCTTATTTACTCCCAAGCTTTTTAATTAATTATAGATACCTATCAAAGATGTTGAACACACCATTATTTGCTATTTAGCCTTAATTTATAATAAAATAAATAAATATTATAAGAATATAGTAACATCAATGAAATCCTTGTAGCCACGTGGTCGCACAGTACTGCAGGTTTGGAGCGCTTTGATTGGTCGTCGCCGCCCCTCCCACTGCGCGCGCGCTGACTCACGCGCCCGGCCCCACTTTATTGATACGAGAAAGTATTTACACAATCATGATTTTCTTTCTAGTATCTAAATATAAAATATTTATCCTAAAAAAGTTGGAAAATTTACTCTTTATATAACGAAGCGTCATTTGGTTTATAATATTGAAGATATGAATGAAATCTAACAGAAAAAAATTCTCAATTCTCTTGATCTTTTATATATTATCAATAAAGGCTTTAAAATCTATTAAATAAATAAAAAAAAAACAATTTTATAGCACTTGTTACATATAAAAACGCCGCAATATAAGCTTTTAATCTTCTATTAATATGTAGTTACTGTTGTTTTAGAGAAAATATGTATTTTTTTCTAATATTATATGTGCTTTAAAGAAGCGAATAAATAAGAAGTTACGATGGTTTTATCTTATTTATAGCTTATGGTAAGCATGGACACTTTAATTGTCCTCCACAATATGTATTATAATACTAATAATATCAAAGTATTGAAATGCATTTGTTCATCATATTTTACTTTATTTGTTGTACAATAATTAAATTAATGTTACATTTACACTCCATATATCACAATACCAAGAAATTTTCTAAGTAAAAAAAGGTGCAAATTAAAAAAAAAATGTCTATAGGAAGATAAAGTTAATTTGTTTTATATTTATTCATTATATTTGTATAACTAACATACGCTTGTAAGTACTCTATTCACTAAATCCACTAAGTAATCTTACAAAAATCAGGTATCAATCAAACAAAAAAAAAAAACTTGTGATAATCCATTATCTAATTGCGTAATAAAAAAGGCAGGCGGGCGAGCAGGTAAGGCCTCCCTCCACGACTCCGCCTCGGCGGTAACGCGAGCGTTCGTCAGAGTGTACCGTGCGCTGTCCGACCGCGCTCATGCCGCGGGTCCGCCCATCGCAATGAAGTGGCTGTGTATGTTTGTGCTTTTTCTGTGTTTGAGGTGCGAAGCCGCGAATAAACCTAGGAGAGGACGCGGCAGTATGTGGTGGTATGTTATTAACTTATATTCCATTTATTTTTCTATAGATTCATTAAATATTGACGTTATAGTTGGTTATTTTGTCATTACTTTGCCTTATCTATTAATATTTGTGCGCTTAAACCAAATAATGATATAATTAAGTGTAATATTGAAGTTACAAATAGTGTTAATATGTAGAAATACTTAGATAAGTTACATACATACAAGTATCACTTTCTAAATCTCGAAATTACTCTCGATGAGCTATCATGTTACTATAATTATCTTATCGATAAAACCTGTACACATTGTAGATCACACGTTAAAACAACTTCCTCTATAAAGGAGACGAGATAATTAGCGAATATTAAAAAACCCGTAAACAGACGCGCGCGATATCGCTAATGGTGCCGTTAAACTTAATGCATCCTAAAACTTGCATCTTACGAGTATTGTATGAATTATTGCGTTATAAATAAAGATACTTTAGATTTTACGCCAAAATGTCCTAATATATGCAAAATATTGTAGTAGTGGAATTTTGTACAGGAAATTATGTAATCTGATAACAAATTAATTAGAAATGTTTTTAATTTGTAAATTATACGGATTTTTATTTCTTATTTTGTATTTGTCAAATTATAATTACTTAAATTATAAGTTGTAACGTGTACAAATGAAAATATTTAAATTGTCACCTGCGCATGAGTCGAGTGACGGACGTCAAAACTATATTTGCACACACTATCGCCCGGCTCCTGGAATGCGACAACCCTAATCCCTAGTGCATAGTGTATATATTCTATTAGAATAAATTATTTTTAATTTAGTTATAGATTTAGTTTCTATTACTATTCTATAAAAAAACCCGCAAAATGAATTTCTTTTCCTTATACTTACTTCAGCAAGATACTCATTTGCTAAATTAAATTATTATCACTTAAATAGTTTATAACCAAAACAAATTTGTGCTAATTTTTATTTTACTTCCTTCATATATTTTCATGTTTATAGCATCATTTAATATAAAGATGTATTTTTAAGATATACTTATAATTACTCAAAGTTTTTAATGCTCACATAAAATCACTAAGCATAAAAAGTTTCGTTTTATATTTATTCATTTAATTCTAAATTTGTTTATTACACATTTTTAAAATCATTTATATAAAAAAATAAAAGGAAAATTTTTTTTTTTATTATCTTATCCGTCGGAACATACATATTTAAAGATAAATACAACAATATGGCACATATCACTAATCTTATAAAATCTTATAAATAGCTTCATTAAAAATCAATAAAGTATTATTTATCAATAGATATTTTAATATTTTTTAGTATAAACGTTGTATTAAACAGTAGGCGGTCGGAGTTAGCCGTAATCAATCATCGAATGTTCGCATTAAAAGCTAAGATTCAATAGTGATTAATTACTTCATTAAACTTAATATAATTTATCATTCAATTTTAACACTTTTTTATTATTGAAAGAAAGTTGGCATTAAAATTGACAAACTTACATTTCAGTACAGAAAAAAATTTAAGACATGTAGATATCTAATACGATATTTTTTTGTGTTTAAATAACAATCCTAAGTACACATTATTATTATCTTTAATATAAAATTATATTAAAATATTTTATGTCCGTTCTAAAATTTCTAAGCTACTTAAAAGAACTTATCACTCACTATCATTGTGAGATACAGTGGCGCGTGCGCATTGCATTACACAAATATTGTTACTTGTTTGTTTAATTAACTAATTAGGATAAAGCGGAAGACACACTTGATTATTACACTTGTTTTTAAGTTTCACTGACTTCATTCATTAAAAATTAGGTAGATGTATATTTTATATATCTACTAAAGGTTTGTACTAGGCATTAGAACGTTAATTTAATATTTATTTAAGAATATATAAATCGGCTCACTCTTGCTTCGCTTGGGTTCTAGAAAAACAACAACAAATCTATCCTACAGGAATCACACATTTTTCCAGAATAAAAAGCGTTATTTGCTATTCTAGACTATAATTTATCTCTGAGCCAAATTTCATCCAGATCCGTTCAGTCGTTCTGGCGTAGTTGAGTAACAAACATTCATCTAAACTTTTACATTTATAATATTATAGTAAGATGATATCTACTGTAAATGAAAGAAAAATGTACAATAGTAATACCTATATATTATGAAGGGAATAATATTAAATTAAAATAGAATTGTAGTTAAAAAATATATTTTCTTTCCGACGGTAATATACCCACTAGGTGCTTTTTGGTAATAAAATACTATATTATAATAAGTTACTAATAGCAATTAAATATTTAAACACAAGAGACTCACCCAAATGAAAGGCGATTCTTAATTCTTTAAATTGGCGTAGGATTTTTTTATATATGAACCGATTGAAATAAAACAAATAGTAAATATTAAGTGAAGTTTACCACATTAATCAAAACCGCACCCAAATCGGTTAAGCCGTTTCTGAGATTAGCGCGCACAAACGCTCAGACAAACAGACAAAAATTCTAAAAATCATGGTTTTGGATTCTATTGCGTTAGTAAAGACCCCCAAATAATAGTTTCTCTCAAATATCTACCATGTACAGACAGGGATAAGTTATATATTCATTATATGTATATATTATTGAAAATAATATCTATTAGTCTGTTTCAAACATCGAACACATTAAAAAAAAGGCAAAAATCGCCACACCTCAGCTAATTTTTATTCATCACACGTATCTCATATAGCATTACCTACTCTGATATCGCGTGCGGTTGTCGTGATACGACTGATAAAGGATAAAAATTTTATAAAAAAAATATGTTAAAAGTATCAATTAAACTTTAGTTAAATTAATCTATATTATAAATAAAAATAAATAAAAAAGGTTTATTACTAGATTTTTTAGCAATGAATTAAAGTAACAAATGTTAATAGAATTAAATTAAAAAAAATTATCTCTAAAATCTATATAAAACATCAACAAAGCCTGTATTTAAATATATTATGTTTATAGATAACTATAAAATTATCCAATTTTGAAGTGTCGCTACGCATATATAGCACTAATTTCACACTTTTAAATTGTCTCAAACAAGTTTAATTCACTTTTAACTATCAATTACCATATATATAATATATATACCACATTTGCTTTCTGCTTATCACAAAATATTGTTATTATAGTAATTTTTAATAGCCATCGTTAGTATTCGTATTCAAATTCGATCAACTGATTTTCATCAAGTTTTTAAGTAATCTTGTTAAGTAGAAACACTTAAAACCAATCCGTGTTTATATTATCTGAAAAATATGAAGTATTTTATGAGTTTAACTGAACTCTTAGGCAGTAATAATCATAGAATATAACATATTACTTTTCCAAGTGTAACTTACACTCGCAATAAAACAGTTGATTTAGTATGTGTTATTTCTTAAGTCTGACGTTATTTTTGTTCATAACTTTATGAATTTTAACTTTATTATACTATAGTAGCATGCTGTACATAAATGAACATCACACAGAAGCCGCCTTCATCAATAATCAATTGTTTACCTAGTTTTAAATATTACGTACATATAAGGTGACTATTATAAAGTGGCAGTTTACATGAATAAATAACAAATGCGCTATATAAAAGAAGCCGCTTACTACACTGTAAATTGAAGGCAGAGAGAAAACAACAAACAATTTTTTTTTCAATTGAGAATCATACTAAAAATTTAAATTAAAACACTTTCTACTAACTAATAACACTTTCTTACATTTACACGAATATTTGATATTGCAATTAAAACTATTTTTTTCACGTTTTTATTTGTTTCCGACGTTTTAAGTGAAGTACTACGGTACTATTTCTCTTTTTCTTTTCTCATTCCAAACTAACGACTCACCGTCGCCCCGCTTGGGTTCGTCCCTAGGTATGTTTTAACGGTTAGTGTAGATTTCTCAGATAAAATATTTTCCCGCAGTACAAAATGTCCTTTATGTTGACGGATAACCAGCCATTTTCATTCCAAATTTTATTAAAATCTGTTCAGTGCTTTTCTCGTGATGCGTACCCAGACAGACAGAGACAGATAGACAAAATTCTAAAAACAATAAATTCGGCCTCTTTTCTATAATAATAACTATTACAATAAAATTTTGCAAAACATATTTAATGTACAGATTCGATTCATTTAGAATTTTATAGTATGGATTGGGGTGCGGGTTCGAATCATTCATTTGTGTGATGAGCACGAATGTTAGTACACCAGTCATGGGTGTTTATAATTATAATATGCATGTATTTAAAGTTATATATGTGTAGTATATCAACTATCTGGTATCCATAACACAAGCCTCGTAGCTTAACATGGAACTAGATGGTTCTGTGTGTTAATGTCCCAACATATTTATATATTATTATTATTTATTTGTCTGTCAATCATTTATAACACTGGGAACAAAAAACAAAAAAAAAATCGCGAACACATCCGAAAAAAGTTTTATTTAAAAAGAAAAAGCAGTTTAACTGACCACTACACCGGACGCTTCTCATGAATCAAGTAAAACGTTCTTAAGTTTGTACGTGGAATAGCAAATCGAGTCGAGAAAAGAAAATATTTGTTATTTTGACACATTCACACAGTCTTTATCGCTGTTCAAACATAACGCTTGCTCGTGAAAACTATTCATTATATTCTCGAGGTCCTCGTGTCTCGTATTTGGTTTCCGATGCGACAAGTATAACCTAACGGACACAAACAAAACCATCCTTCGCATTGTTTTCACTGTATAATTAAATTAACACCTTTGATATGTAGGCTAAAGTACTGTGTGTTGGGAGAGATCTATATTGAAAACTTTTATAAAACCTCAATAATATGTAATGAATAAATACATAAGATTTTTTTATTAGTAAAATAGTAGTTGTGTGTGAACAAGTTATTTAGGTGGATTCGGTTATTAAAGTGATATGTAACTTAAATGTCTCAAAAGGGCTAATCAATTTCAATTCAAAGTCGGTCACTCTGAAAGGCTGTTAACCAAAACATATCATAGTTTAAAAGCTCGAAGTCAAACTCATGTCGCATCGTCTCCATGAATTCTCGAAGGAAATGAGAATTTCCGACGAACGGCCTCATATTTACGTAACACTTGACTACAAAGAAAGGTAAATAGAGAAGTAGTACGATTTACAGCGCTCTGGCCAACCTTTTTGTGAGTTTTACCTTTATTATGTAACTTAACATATGCATCGTACAATTTTTATTAATAACGACATATACATTTCATGTGGCTAAACAAAAGGCGGTATTTTTGGATAACTAAGCGAGCAATGTACGTTTTAATCGATTTCAAAGTTTTGTTTCTCAGTTAGTACACAATAGCTCGAAGCCCAAGTTCCGAGGCCGAGTCAATAGGCCGAGATGTCGATCGCTCTCGTCTTGTGTTTACTCACTCAGCCCTCGAGGATTAATGCGCGACGCAAATATTTATCTAAACGTCTGCAGATTGACAGTTCAGTCGACAATTGTTTGTTGTCTTTACCTTCCCAAATGAGCATTTCATTTCGAGTTGCACCCCTTGCCTTAAGTGGCTTAAGGGCTGTTTATTTTGTTCTTTCAATGTTCCTATTTTTGGACATTGTTTTTGCGGTGACAAAATTACTTTAAATATAAGCGCATATTACAGATCATAAAACTATCTATTATATGAGTAGGTACATGATGAAGTCACGTACGTGCACTTTATTCGAGAGTTTTTGTCTGTTGATGTCGACGCGTGGGTGGTTGCCGTCGCTTTTTCACATATTAAAGAAAAATACTCATAAAGCATATATATAAATATAGTCCTTTAGCAAGAATCGAATCTGCGACTTTTGTCACTTACAAGTAGGTTGCCATCTTAGCAAACGATCCGGAAAGAAAATTAAAAAAAAATGTTAGTTGCACATCGAAACTTATTATAATATTAACACCTTCAAAATTCCCGCGATAAAATATTAATCTTAATGATTTCTTTACGTTTAACCACAAGCAAATTGATTGATATCAGTTACAGAATATTGAGATTTGTATCGCAATAAATTGACAACTTAATTAGTCAACATGTAATTAATAACATCTCTGATAATATATCAAATAGGTACCAAATAAGTTGCAAAACTGCATTTAGAAACAGGTTTCGATGCAAATCTCGAATGCGATCATCAAATAGACATACTTAGAGTGTAAGATTTATTTATTTATTTTTAATTTCACAGGGGTATAGCAAAAGCTGGCGAACCAAACAGCCTGTCACCAGTCTCACCTGGAGTACTGTACATGGACCCGGCAGTCCACGCGACGTTGAGAAGGAAGCAGCGACGGTTAGCTCGAGAAAACCCCGGCGTTTTAGCAGCAGTGGCCAAAGGAGCTAGTATGGCAGTGGCAGAATGCCAACACCAGTTCAAATACAGAAGATGGAACTGTTCCACAAGAAATTTCCTTAGAGGAAAGAATTTGTTCGGCAAAATTGTTGACAGAGGTGAGTTTTATTCACAATAAAAAAAGAATATTAATAAAAATCCAATAATATAATTGAAACTCATGTATAGACATGTAAGTGTGATGACAGCAAAAATTAAGCAAAAAAATATATATTAAAGATACAGTCACAAGAATTCCAGAATAAGATGCTTTTAATTTGATAATAATGTATTCAGAATATTGCGTGTTGCCCTTACCTACTGCAGAGCGTATTGCCTCAATAAACATAAAGTTTTAGTTTTATAAATTGTTTATTATGGACTTAATTAAGAATAAATTTTGATAAAGACTGACAAGTTAATGCCTAAGCCACGATTATCCTTTTGGCGAAGGTGAAAAAAAAAAACAATAAGCTTAAATAGCGAATATGAGAACACGCGTCATTCGTTTGTCTTAATTTTGTCCCAAATAAAAAACAACACATTAAAAAGAACTTAAGAAGATAATCTCTAAATACCCATCGAGGATACCAAGGAAACAGATTACAAGGCATTGAGACGTATAAGCGATTTAAAAAAGCACGATTCAAATTTTTCTATACTGAATTGGCGCTTAAAAAAGTAGGATGTAGAAAAAAATTTTTTTTTTAAAACAAACCCTAATCCGAGTTACAAAGAGTGGCTACAAATTAAGTGATATTTTTAGTTGGCAACCCTTTTAAGAGATGTTATCTCTGTTCACTGGGAGGGTAGCGCGCCGGGGGCACCTATAAAGGGCTCATCAAGATAAAACCACCTGGATCAATTACATGCGACGGAGTGACGTTCCAAATCTCGTTTGTCGATTGCCCTTTATTTGTTCCATTATAAAATTTCCTTCTGAATAAACTTTTTTACATATCATTATTGACCGAACATTTTATTTTTTAATAACAAATATTAATAACTTTTAGAAAACATTTGAAGCTTTTCTGCTCTCATCAACTTAATTTGCTTCGATAAATTTGAATAAACAAAAAGCACACAAAGCTTTTAAAAACACAAATACACAATAGCATTAGTATCAATTCCATTTAGTTGACTTGAATGGATGAGATATTATCTTTAAGATAAAAATCAACAAATAAGTACTTTTAAGCACCTAATATTTGAAAATCTCTTTTATAAGGGCGTAGAGTATGCGACTAGCCAACATACTGTAGTGGGTATGTAAGTTATAATAAAGAGGCGAGATAAAATTTATAAAAGGTGCACTTACGAAAATTAAAATGTTATAACAAAGCTCTCTTTGCCGTCGCTGGGAGTTTTTGTAATGTAAACGTCTCTATTACAACGAGACAAGGTATAAAATAAGTTGCATTCACATTTCGCGACTGTACAAATTAATTTTGCCTTTCAAATCAGGGCTGCCCTATCTCCGGTGTCCGATTTCGATGCTTTGTACGCGATATGCCTTATTATGAGCCTGCGAACTGCAAACATCTGGTCCGTACTTCACATTATTCGCTTTTAGCAAAAAAGAGGTCGTATTGTAAATCAAAACTATCTCGACTTTTTATTAGCAAACCAAAACAAATACGATTGAGAATAAACGTGTTAAATTTTTGTTAGATTAAATATATTATTAAAATAGAAGCTTTACTTCGGGGTCAGACAGCAGCGAGGGGGTTATCTTCGGAATTAAAAGCGTTCGCTACTGTATCTTGTTCTAATTCGATCATTTCATATTCCTACGCTGGTTTACATTATATGAATGTAAGTGCGTGCGCCACGGTTGTTGACCCTTTGCTTCTTACGTTAATGAAACGCGTAAACGTTTTCTGTAAATGTCTCTATTAACTCGCACTCTGTAGAAAAGTCACTTTTTGACCGACTTCGTATAGAAAATGCGAAGGGAGTAACTACTCAATTTTTCTCTATTTTTTGTATATGTTAGATATATAGATATATGATTAATTATAATAATATTAACCAATTGTTAATTGATTTTCAATTCAATTCAATTTCTTTGTTTAGTGGCTTTCAGCAGAATTAATTTTCATTAATTTTATTTATTTATGGTGGGATCATTTAAATAAAAAAAATACCCCAAGGATGGGTTGCCTGATTTTCGATTGATAAGTCTATTTACCTTTTTGTTAAAACGTAATTAAAAAAAGTTTCAAGGTGAAATTCAATATAAATATCGTCCGACTTGTCCGAACACATTTGGAAAATAATGCAGATTGAAATAATTAGTTTGCAAAATGAATCGCTATACAAATATTTAAAACCTGTCAAACATCACCGAATTTAGCAAAATCATTAGTATTGTTACGATCCTCAAACAATATATTTAACGGACGAGGTCGGGCGAAGGTTATACCAAATTAAGGTATTTTGACATTTTTCCAACAGATAAGATGATAACAGATTATTTATTGTTAATTGGTAAAAATTGTAATCTATATATATAATAAAATTCTAACTGAGTCGAATCTGTACATGAAATACTTTTTGGAAAATCTTATTGAAATAGACATTATTATCGACACAGAAGCCGAATCTATAGTATTTAGAATTTTTGTCAGTCTGTTACCGCATCACAGAAAAACCACTGAAGAGGTTTTTATGAAATTTGGTATGGTGATACCTGGTTATCCGGGTCAACGTATAGGATACTTTTTACCGCGGAAAAATACCTCATTTCTGAGAAAAAATACAAAAACTGCAATCTAAATGTAAGACTATATTAACATGTGAAACCTAAGAATTTGGTTTTTGGTCATCTGAACGCGGGCAGAGCCGCGGGCAATGCTAGTCCATATAATAATGTTTACATAATATTAATGTTTGTTTAATGAAAAAAGAAGTGGTGATCGCTGATTAGCTTGTAGTCAAGTGAGCTTCTCAACTAACCCGTTCATTCACTAAATCAAAAAGAATCATTTCTGAACCAAGCGATTAGCTCCGTCTTATTTATGTAAGTAGACTAACGTAAATTGCTAAGACAGAACCAATTAAGACGATAAAGTTCATTAATACGAGACCGGCAATTACTCAGTCGTGCCTTTTTTTTCTAGTCCCATATGAGAACAACGAAGCGGAGCTATAAAATAATTACACATTGACAGTAAACCAAACGCCTAGAGCTAATACCAGTATAAATATTGATATTTTATTTCGACACAATCTATCTACAAAGAGTGGGCACCATTTTTCTAAATTAAAAGCCAGATATAGCACTACAGACCACCGTCGTAATAATTTCACTCGATAAAAAGAGCAAAAGGCAACACATAATTTATGTTATATGCGTGTACATTTAGAGCATATTACTTTATTAAGGGCAGGCAGGGCGGGCGAGCGCGCGGGGCAATATTACAGGCCGGCCGCAAATATCTGCCGATAAACTTTTTTAATACATTGCAATTACGTCCATTTGAGAAACGCATAAAACGAGCGAGCGATCGCGGCGGGAGCCCCATACAACGCAACTCATTAAGAAAAAAAAATCGTAAATATGATTTTGAATCGCTACATCTCATCGAGAACCGAAATCTTTGAATAAGGTTGGTCGTCATGATTACTGTTTCGATGGACAAAGCCCCCCCGGATGGAGCACGAGTAATTACTAATATACCTACACGTCGACACGCCATTGACGAGTTGACGCGACATCTTCATCTCATTGTGGTGTAAACCTCAAGGATCGTATTAACACAAATGATGACAACGGTACAATAGTCCGCTTTATAGATCGGGCTATTGTTGACCCGAGCATAGAAAAATGTATGATCCGGGTTCCCGTAGAGAGGCCTCCTGCGGAGCGGTTTGGCGATGCGCATGCGACGGTACTCGTACACGTTCTACGGAAGCCACGTTTACACCTATCGCAGCGTCTAATGGCAGGTAACTCGCCCAATAAAACGACCTTTCTCAAAATATTTCCTGTTTTGAAGGTTTTATATGGAATCTCGGGGGCTAAGATTCCATCGTGGGTGTATAAAACGTACAAAACGATGCATCGAAAATAAAAAGCAAATAAAATGGTCTCGACGAAATATTTAATGCTCAATTAGATAAGCGTTTTGTGTTTTGTGGAGTTTGAATTGTTTTTAGTTTTATCAATTTGTGACATTTAAAATGTTGATAAGTATATTATATTTAATGGTATATCCCAAAATTCATATTATGTATTTGTTTCAAAAAAATTACGATTGACATCGTGTAACATTATTTATAGACAGTTAATGTACTGTTAAAAAGAAATTATTTTTGTTTTTTTTTCCAGTTTGAAAACAAGCGTCTTTGTCCACCGTATGAATGGGTGTCGGGATGGTCGATGGTAGCGAGTGGTAGCCCTGAGCGCTTTGTGCCACTCACAATGAGTGATATATGAGCGACATAATTTTGAATTGTCGCAGCGAAGTCTCGGACGGAGGACTCAATGTAAAATTATCACCCATATAAGGCATAACGAAAATGAATTATTACTTTTATGGCCTATTCTTGCTTCGCCACTGCAGCAAAAACAATCGTCATCCTATGGCTCTTTAGTGGTCTTTTAAGAAATTAATTTGTATGTTCTACACGATGTTTCATCTTTAAATAGAAGCTGATACGATCAAAGCTCTCAGTAATATGACATTATATTCTCGTAAAATATTTTAAAACACTAATAAATGACTTCATCACTGTCGACGGCCGTCCTCGATAGGTCGACGTCTAAACCGGCCAAACACCGCATTATACGACGGGTGATTTATGGTTGTTTTGAGTAATTACATCTCATCAAATTTGAATAATGCGAGTTGCCATAAATAATAAGCTACACGAGACGCAACGCGCGAAATCGTCATAAGTCAATCTCTCAAATTAATCTCTTGGAAACACCTCGGCGTGATGACTTAATGCGGACGGGAACATATTTAATTAGTGCATTAATTTTGAATTATTTAATGGTTTTCTCTGTGAGGCTGCGAGGCCAGGTGTTCATCAAATGTCAACAGTGATTAAGTTTTATTTTACGGAGCGAGCAAGCGGTCGTACGTTGGATTTACGAGTTTTTGACTTTTATAAATTCTCAACGCCTCGCCTTAACTGCCAATCCGGCGGGATGGAATTATCGCTCGGTGCTCGACTGCTCGCGTTGTAAACCGACTGCGGGACCATTTATTATCCACACAGATAATCCACCGACAGCACTTTATTATCAGTTATAATAATAATTTACTTTTATAGATTCACATTACTCATGTTTGTTCTTATTTGACTGCAGTTTGATGCGGTGGAATTGCTTCAATAAAATAATAGCGCGCCTTAATTATAAATGCTTTATATCGGATCATCTAAGACTGAGATATGAATCGTTATTTGTATTAGGCCTCGTATGTGGTCGGTGTCAGATTAACGTTGTTTGGGTAGTTAATAGAAGGAATTTACATTTTATTTAATGCCGTGACTAATGTGGTCCCTCGAGTGGAGCCTGTGAGGACATCTGTCATAATTTTTCTACGTCGCGATTTATTCGCAAAACGCGACAATCCTCTTTGTTGTCAGACGAAATCGATGGTCGAGCAACCAACAAAATAAATTATTGAATTATTTATAAATACATAAATATTTCGTCTCACATTAGACCAGAACAAAGCATCGCACGAGAACGTCCACCAGAACGGGTTAGGTCGTGTATCTTTTTGACAGAAGTTTATAAACATATCAGACCAATTAAAAATTATATTCGTTCGTCGTTTATATTCTTAATTGATAAGATAATGGTTCCGTTATATCATAGCGGAGATAAAGTAAAAGTAGCCACATTAAAATCACAGCGTGCGGACAGATGTCGTGGGCCAGATGTCGACACATCGACACTCGATTTCCTACGTGTTTTGAAGACGCGTAGAGGCTCGCAGTAGGAGCTACTCGGCCACCTGGCTGCGGCACCCCGGGGCAGACCTCCGCTGACTCATAGCTACGTAACATCCGTGAGCGTATCACCTTCCACGCTCACTGTTGAACATTTTATTACTCTAAGAACATATTATAACATCTAAACATTTTAAACGTTACATATATCTAAAATGTTCCAAATAGCAGACTTAATACAGACATTTTTAAGTGTCATATTTAATGGATCCACACTTATTTTTATAAACAGAAATACCTTTAAACTTATTACAAACGATAAATGCTTCATGGGAATTGTATTCGTAACCGTTGAATTAATTTCTCCCGAGCATTGAATGATGGCAAAATTGACATAAAATTCCCGGTTGAACGTCTCAAGTAATTGCTGAATAAAATACTTTTGTGTAACATCCCAAAGCGAAACACAAAAAGTGAGTCGGCTACGCCAGTGTGCGTTGCTCGTAATTTATATCGGTGCTCGATGACAACTCAATAAAAAAATGATTTCATTTGCTTATTGAGTCCTTAATAACGATGGTCGACTTGGACCGTTCCATATATTATTATTATAAATAATAATAACAAATATAAGTTCCTGATTATTTTTGTATACAGGTTTTTTCCATTGGTAATGCGTGGCGACGGAAGCCCACCTAAGACGTTTATATACCTAATAAATCATTATAACTTTTTATATGATAATGAAATATTGTTTTATTATTTAAAACTATACACTTGTATATGAGAATATGTTTCGAAATTATTATAAAACTGATATTATGATGCTTTAAAAGGTGTAATAATCAAAAAATGTATTGTAATAGCAAAACATATCAGTTAAATTAATGCGTGTAAAAAAGCAGGTCATCTTTTTAATTATGATTAAGGTAAATGGCCAGCCATCGAACTACTTTCGGTTTTAACGTCGAGGAATTTAATTATAACCTTGACTCGAGTCTGATGAGTCAGACTATCATAGTTGTCTTACTGTTTATTCGTTATGGCTTTTGTGCGCTATAAGAGATTGTATGTGAAAAATTAAATTGGCTTGTCATCATTGATTTCATTTAAAATGGACATTTATAAGGTTAATATTTATTATTAAACTTAGATTATTTAACAATTTTTTTAGAACATTTAAAAATACTTGATATTTTACTATGTTAAATATTTAATTAAACTTAATTTACTATGGTAAGGGTATTCGATGCTAATCGTCAAGAACCGTTGGTTATCGATATTACAAAGATTCGTTGCGCTCGCCAGTACCACTTGTAATGATCAAATTTATAATCTCCCGGGTAGGTAAGAGGCATTTCTTTTATTTTCAATCGTCGAGATATACCCTCTCTCTTTTAATTGTATTTTATGAGTATTTGATTCTAATGCCGGGCCATTAATTATTTATAGTATTCGATACGGGATGAGAGAATCGATTTATGTATTCGGGAGATGAATGAATGCATCGATCCTTTTGTATTTGTGCCTCGAGTTCTTTTGGTAATTACTCAGGATTACATTATGACTTACTCAATTTATACCACTTTAATGTCGAGTCACTAATTGATATTAATTTTGCACAGAATCTATATTCTTAAATAATTCTTTAATGATTTGTTCCATATTCATTTGTATGTATGTATTTTTTGTCTAAAAGCCAAATTAAATTTTGTATCTTTAGCCCTAAGGCATAATAAAAATTGATTAAAATATGGGTACCCCTTCTGCTGGCACATATTAATTATGTGGATACCAAACATGCCTATACAAAAATACCTACATAAACCTTATATTCTTATTACAAAAACAACAATATTAAGCCAGAAGCAAGGTCTGATACCTGCATTTTATAAGTTTATAGCAGTCTATTATCACGATACCCCACAAAACTGTCTTAATATAATATATGGATTTCCAAACAAAGAACACTAATTGTAATGGCATATTAAATGCCAAATTTTTCAACATTGGATTCGGATTAATAGCAATCGAATATTTACGGACGGTTGACATATTTATTTATTTTATAAATTTAATTTTATGAAAATGGTTTAAAGTCTGTCCCATATATGTATATAATAAATATAATAATTAACCTATTTCATTTGCCGTAGGTTGCCGTGAGACAGCGTTCATATATGCAATAACGAGCGCCGGTGTAACGCATGCGGTGTCCCGCGCGTGCGCAGAAGGCTCGATTGAGTCTTGCACCTGTGACTACTCGCATGTTGACCGCGCGCCTCACCGCTCTCGCGCCGCTGCCGCCGCCAACGTACGCGTCTGGAAATGGGGCGGTTGCAGTGACAACATCGGCTTCGGCTTCAGATTCAGCAGAGAATTTGTCGACACCGGCGAAAGAGCGAAGACGTTGAGAGAAAAAATGAACTTGCACAACAATGAGGCCGGCAGAATGGTAGGTTCACTCAAGTACCTCTCAATATGTCAATATATCATTCTTCATTTACGGTAGCTAAATAACTCATGAATTAAACAATTCAAGTGGCTGTCGACATGTGTCGTCACAGCGTGTTCACATTACCATTACGGGTGACGATCGATTGTCAGCTACTTGACGTGTCGCTTAAGTCTAAAATTAATTATGCGTCAAATGGTTCGGCCCATCGCACGACGAGTGTGCAACAGGCACCCATTCGTTGCGCTCGCGCATCTCCCTCCCACCGCACACCCACATTTGCATACCCACTGTCCGTACCTTCCTAAAATTCATCAGAAAGGGACGTCTGGAGCCTCGAGCCACACAAATGCATCATTAACCGACCCGCTTAATTCTCGTCACGACAGACGCACTGGGTGTCCACCTGTTGAATATTCAAGGCATTCCGTCGATTGTTTAACACATATTTAGACACTAGATTGTAAAACTCATCGTTCTTATCCATATACATGATAATAAAAAATCCGTCGACATTTTCTACGAAGCGTGTTCACTCACGAAGGATAGGAAAATATTTACAGTTTCTATCCTCGCGTCATTTATCTACCTTCCTAGAATGATGAATGTATCTAGAGCATGATTTATGATCCGTCCACGCGCGGTGACGACCAGCCCACCTCTTCACCATTTGTAACAATTTGCTCGATCGTAAGATGCGATCGATGAAGTGTTTTCTAAAGATCATCGATCACCTACATCGGCGCTTATCGAAGGAATTTAAAGATATTTGGACATCATTATAGACCTCCTCACGCGATTGAATAAATTATGAGATTTTTTTTTTTAATATATTATTAATTATTACGTTTGTCCACAGCACGTGCAAACGGAGATGCGCCAGGAATGCAAATGCCATGGTATGTCTGGATCCTGTACAGTAAAGACATGCTGGATGAGGCTACCAAGTTTCCGGTCTGTGGGAGATGCATTAAAGGACCGCTTCGACGGAGCTTCGCGGGTTATGATGCCAAACACAGAAGTCGAAGTTCCTGTTCCACGTAACGATGCAGCGGCACACAGAGTTCCCCGAAGGGATCGATACAAATTCCAACTTAGGCCGCATAATCCTGATCACAAAACACCTGGTGTCAAGGACCTAGTGTACCTCGAATCATCACCGGGTTTCTGCGAAAAGAACCCGAGACTGGGCATTCCCGGCACGCACGGGCGTGCCTGCAATGATACTAGCATCGGTGTCGACGGTTGCGATCTTATGTGTTGCGGCCGCGGCTACCGGACCGAGACTATGTTCGTAGTGGAACGGTGCAACTGCACATTCCACTGGTGCTGCGAAGTTAAATGCAAGCTGTGTCGCACAGAAAAAGTAGTTAACACGTGTTTATAGACAAGCGGGCGTTCTGACGCGTGTATGTGATCGTCCAGAGAGACTCAGTGTCGGACTTGTGACTCGGAGTAGACAGTGGAGTTGGAAAACAGACATGTATATAACCGCCTCGCTTTTCCTTATCGGATTTGTCGAAACCGTATTCTTATTGACTTATGTAAATATAGATAGTATTATATCGCTGTTTATTTCCTTTTACGCTTATAATCGATACCCCGTGAAATTAAAATAAGCGGTATTCGGTCATTTAATTTATTTGGCTATTAAGTGCGAACATGTGATCTAGTAATGTTATTTTGTGGACGCTGTCGTTGGGATACTAATGAGACCAGTTTATCGACAATTTATTCCTGTCATCTTGTCATCTCGCGGGCACTATCGAAATTGGGCTTATTGGTTTCCTTACGCGGTCAAGTGTATGAAATATTAGTCTTAGATAACGCACTTATCACCGTGACTACTCACCCGGGCGGCTGATATATTAGACTACTTTTAATGGTATTTAACTAATATCATTATAAAGTTAAAATTAATGTTATAATTATATTTTAATGAAGCTGAACGCTTCGCATATTGATAATTCCAGTTTTATATGATTTCTATTTTATAGACGTCCGTGTCGGGTGTACGGTCGCATAACTGTTGTAAAACTCGAGAGCGAAATTATCTTGTAATTATAGTTTTATATTAATTATTCGGCCGGTTAATGGATTTTGTGGCTTAACTATATTTGCATAAAGCATCTTCTTGGGTGTCCACAGCTACAGGTTGCATTTGGGTCTTATCAGTGAATAAGTAGCGCCATCGTAAAAGTGTCCCACATTATGAGATAAACGCTCTCGAGAATTTTAATTAAATATTAAACGAATTAAATAATCAGTATTATATGTATAATATTGTATGCGTGCTGCGTCCGATATTCCAAGATAAAGTTGCACGTAAGCCCGATTGACACTTGTTATACATTTTAAACGCTCGCTCGTGCTTTTAAATTGCCCATTATTTATTAAGCATGTACAAAACATTTTTTGCCTTTTATATATTTTTAATTAGTGGAGATATCGCAAACTGTTGATTCTGGTTATTTATATTCATAAACGCAGACGGCATAAATGTTATTACCTTACAAATTGTTACCTCTCATCTGATATCCTAATATAGTTGACGGTTTATAAAACTCGATAATGTACGTTTAAAATATATTTGTATTAGACTGATGTTCAAACTCGACAGTTTGCTATTAAGGAGAGAAGCTTTACTAAATATAGTTATTTGTATCAACGTGAATGATATTTCATATGTGATATAAACGTAGTTTAGAAAATAAAATAAAGTAAGTAATCCACTGAGCTTCTCTACGCGGTGAAGATAAATTATGTACTTAAGCTATTTATTATTATTTCAATTAAGAATTTCAATTTACTTTAGACTGAGACGTCTAAAGTAAAATGAAATGGTTGTTTTAGTATTAAATCCCATGTTAAAACTGTCGGGATTACTATTACTTCGCTATCACAGTTCTATGTTATTGTCAAACTGAGGTTTTGTGGGTTTTTGAAGTGAAAAGCTGTTTGTGTGACAATTGGCGATAACTGTTAATTACGATATCTGTGATATGCTGTTTTAATATATACCTATTGGTATTTCATTTTAGTATGTATTTTAATCTGCTTGCATTTCAAACAGGTTGTCGATCGTCGTGGAATTAAAAGACTGAATATTTTTTTTATTTCATAGTTGTATCATCCGTAGTCGGATCATTAAGCCATTTTTAAATTTTAGCCTCGAATCGAATGTGATAAAATCGATTTTAAAATATTTTATCTGTCACGAATCCGAAATTCAATCTGTTCTGGATCTTTTATCGATGACAGTTGAATCCCAGGTTTTAACATGTCTCCTTGCCCTAATCAAATTGTCAATGTAAAAAATGCGCATGTAAATATTATTTTTATTATGGTATTATTAAGTTATTTATGTGAATTTAGCATTTTATTGTTAATATTAGATAACAATATGATTTAAATCAGCTGAACTTATCTGAATCTCAAATACTATTATTGTATATGAATTTACCTATTTGAAATTATATTCGTCCAGTGAGACCACTCTTGCGGTTGACGCATCGTAACGATATTGGTTGTACATTAGTATCTATTTATGATTAAATTAATATTGATTAGTTGTTACTAAAAATACAAAATTGATCAAAAATATGTTTTTTATTGTTCCACCTTATTCTATATAATGATGCTACCTACGTAAAAAACAAGATTTACAAAATATAAAATGAATTGATGCTTTAATACCAATATGGCTTGGCGTCATCTAAATGGATGTTATTGATGATTATGCACTCTGAATGCACTAATTAAGCTAGTTTTTACAAGATATTTTCCACATTATTCATATATAATATAATAACTATTGAATAATTCAAATCTTATATAAATAAAAATTTGTATGTTTGTCCTCTATGCATTCCTAAACCATTGATCCGATTGTGATGAAACTCTGATTGATTATTTTGTGTACGCTTGCAAAAGTTCCTGTCGAAAAAAAACTTTCGGACGTTTGTCTTTTATAAGTTCCGACGCGTTAAAGTACGTGTGCGTTAATCCATTCGAGCTTAGGAACGCACCCGAGCGAAGCGAACGAAAAATAAGATTTTACTCCTCTAAAAAACAGACGGCAAAAAAGTTATATTCCATTATTAGTTACTTTTAGATAGGTTAAAACTTGTGTTGAATGAAATATGTTGGTATATTGATATAAATCAACAAAGAGTGGTAAAAAAAAACCTTAGAAATTTCGTATTGAGTTCGAGTCCCGTTTGTATCATATAATTTTTAAAACACTTAGATATTTAAGTTTATAAGACGATTTATAGATTTCATTTTATTTTGAACTAGCAACAAATCCTCGTGTCGCTCGGGTTCGTCCCTAGCTTGCCCAATATAAACTTTCATCCTCATTTTCACCCCCCTGAATGATGGGATGATTTCCGGGGTAAAAAGTATTCGGGATAAGAAGATAGTTTGAAACTTTGGGAAGGACATAATTCACAAAGTTTCAAACTATCTTCTTACCAAATTTCATCTAAATCGGTTCAGTAGATCCAGAGATTACCCCCTATAAGGTCACAAGCTCACAAACTTTACCTCTTTATAATATTATTATATTAGTATAGACTTTACGTCCTTATCTTATAGTATTTATCCTTTTATCTAATAAAATATGTACATACATATAAAATCAAAATAAGATGTACCAATTCGTCGTCTTAGTTCTTATTTGCTCAAACCTCTAATATTTAATAATACTAATAGTAGTTGTACTTTACAGTAGATTCTTTTTTAAAAACAAAACTTTATTTAATTTTTAATTGTAATACTTTCTTAGATTTACGCGAATGTTTTACATTATTAAATAAAACTATCTTTTCGGATTATTTCGCGAATTTATATTGATTTTTGGTTCCCGACGTTTCGAATGCTTTACAGCATCCATGGTCTCGGGAGAGACTGAGGTTGAGACGTGACCATGGATGCTGTAAAGCATTCGAAATGTCGGGAACCAAAAATCAAAATAAATCCGCGAAATAATCCGAAAAGATAGTTTTATTTAATTTTTAATTGTACTTAAATAGATAAAAAAAAACAGTTTTTTAAAGTAAAATGTGTATTTAATACTAATAGAATTAACATTTAAAAGTCAACAATTCTGTATTTAATACTCTTTCTGTAAATTGGTCGTTTGAACAAATAAGCATTGAGATACTGAATAATTAACAAAATCTCAGAAAGTATAAACGCGATTTGACAGGTGGATTTCTCAAAGAGATTTTTGTAAATGTAAACTCTAGAGCAGTAAAAAGTATGAATATCCGATATTTTGAAATACGCGGGCAGAGCTGCAGGCAAATGTTAGTCATGTGGGTGCCTACCTATAAAGTTGATAGTATTATAGGAAGATTACATAGGAATTAAGAATTTGTAACGTTTATATTTGTTCTTAGATCGCTTGGGGTATTATTCTGCCAATTTATCCATAACCGTTAATTTAACGTCGTAGATTGCGAACGTTTAGGCGTATTATGATAAACATGCATATTCATAGCTATATTAGGTCTGATTTTATGAAAATATTTACAAAAGGCAGTGGTAGCGCAGTGGTAATGTGTTCACTTAAGAAAACGAATGAAGCGGGTTCAAATCCCAGGTGTCGTACCTCTGATGTGCGAATAATTTCCAACATGGTTGCCACTTGTCTTACGTTGAAAGAAAACATCGTTGGAATACCTGCATATCTGAGAGAACCTGGCAAGTTTGAAAGAAGTGTAAGGTCCGCCAATCCGTACTTGGCCAGCATGGTGAACTATGGCCAGATCCCTCTTGTAGAAATGGGAGGCCCGTGCCTAGCAGTATGGCTTTAAAAAGAGGACTAAATTATATACATTTACAAATGCTTGTCTTTTGGTCCTTCTCAGATGCAAGCTGTAGATTGCGCTTTGTTTTAATTAAATTACTCTAAAAGATTTGATGTTTAAAACACAATTCATATCGTAGGAGATTTTCCGAAGACCTCGGTGTGCAGTAGTTATGCACAACAAGATATACTCGCGGGTAAAGTGCCAAAATAGTTTTGAGGATAACAAAAGTTAAGAAACGTTAATCCATAAATAACTTATTGAAATAATAATTTATTTTCGTATCAATAAAGAAATCGTACAAAAAAATATATAATTTAACATATCTGCAAAGAGAACTAAGTAACAAGTTGCAATCGCGTTTATTCTGGTAACCATTAAAAGCATGATAACAAATCAAACGATTATTGGCATTTGGCAATCCGTTACGAGGGGTTTGTTTAATAACAACGACATTCATGTCGATATACGACGATGTTCCCTTTTTATTTATGTGAGTGTATTTCAGAACGCGATGCGAACTGTCATATCTCCGCCATTTTGTTTTATTGCGAACGCAACCGTAGAGGGATCGCGCGCAATTTTCTGAAATGGCTTTATTTTCTAAACAAAGGACCAATAGTGTTAAGGAAAATATATTTTAATATAGTGTAATAGGGTTTACTTTTATTTGCACTGAAAGGTTGAAAGTGAAAAGTCGATCCGTGTTGGTGGTCGCGATGCCGCGGGCTCGTTCCCACGAGTATCGCGCTGAGGAAAATTTATGTTTATGAACTGAGAAATCTGTCATAAGAGATACGAATGGCGCGACTGAACCTGAAATAGCGTAAATAATTTTTCACGCAGCATTTCGCATTTTGCAAGTGAAATTTTGTTACTAAAGCACCCATTTTGGTTCAGAGAAATTAATATAACATACTATTTACTTACTATGATGTCTAAGCTAAGTCAGGAAATAAAGAGCATAATCTGTGCTAAAATAAATAGTCCTTATAGACATTTATAACTATATTCTTCTAAGTTAAAATATTTTTTACTTTGATCTACTTTAAAAAGTTACACACTTTTACTAACAAAACAGTTGAGTGTCGGCCTATAAAAGTGTATGGTACTCTTGAGTTTTTGGGCACAATGATGGCTACAAAGCAAGTAGTTTAAATTCATATTAAAAATGAACAAACATCAGTATTAAAAGTAGACCTATAAAATCAAATACCTTTGCATTTAAGCGTTACGTTATATTGAATATAAAGTTTATCAATAGTAATAAAACGTTGAAACTATAACTGTTACCCAGTTCAAATAGCAATCGGATTGTTACTTTAGCAGACGATGCTCAGCTATTTCAACGTATGGATATTTTATACAAGCTTAAAAATAATAATATGTAAGTAGAAGTAGTACTTTTTATTCTTAATTTATTAAAAAAAATGAGTTTTTTGAGTTGAAAAGTTGATTGAGTTAGAAAAGTAATATATATATATAAAACAAAGTCGTGTTAGTTACACCATTTATAACTCACGAACGGCTGGACCAATTTTTGTGATATTAGATTTTTTGGAATTCTCTTAGTCTGGAATAGGATAATAAGTATTAAAACTTCGGAAAACTCCACAAAAAAATTACATGGCTAACACTGGCTAATAACTATTTAAAACGTACCTAGCGACGAACCCGAGCGAAGTGAGGGTGAGCCGCTAGTATTTTATAAATAATTATTTTAATTACTTTAAGTTAATAAAGGCAGTGGTAGCTCAGTGGTAACGCGCTCGCTTGGGAATCCGAGTGAAGCGGGTTCAAATCGCGGGCCCCCACCTCTGATATTTTCATGTGCGAATCATTTCTAACATGATTACCACTTGCCTTACGGTGAAGGAATACATCGTGAGGAAACCTGCATGTCTGAGGAGAACCTAGCAAGTTTTCGAAAGACACGTGAAGTCCGCCAACCCGCACTTGGCCAGTGTGGTGGACTATGGCCTGATTCCCCTCGTATTGAAGGGAGGAAGTTAATAAATGACATTAAAAATATCTATATATTTAATTAATTAATATTTGAATCAAAACTAAATATTGAATTTTAATATCTGTCACAAATGTATCATCCAATCTTTTGTAATAATACCTACAAAGAGGTGTATCGTAAATTATTTACATATACATAATTAAGTAGGCAAAGGCAAAACAGTTGAGTACCTCTGTAGTATACTCCTCTGTTAGTCAACCGTTTTTTTGTTAAGTAGCCTTAGTGTAAAAATATAAAAAAAAATTGAAGCAGATAGATTTTTTTTTATTTAATGATTATAGTCGATTTCTGGGCGAAAATTAGTTAATTTAATTATTTGTAACGAGAAATTAAACGTAAACTATATTTTCACAGCAGAGGTTTCTGCATCCTGGCCAATACTACCCTGGAGGCCGCCCTATTTAAGCCACAGTCCAAACCAAATGGACAATGACGAACGAGGTTTTGATCTGAATGAAGAAGATATGCGTAAATTCCATATCTGGACTTCAGGAATAATTCCTTATTATATCGATGACTTTTCATTTGGTAATGTTTTTTACTTACGATATTAGAATGTAAATATATATTTTTTTTTATATATGTAAATATTTTAGGTTTTATTATGTTTCAAATAAGGATCGTACGAAGTATGTATTTATTTATTACTAGCGACTTACCCTCGCTTCGTTCGGGTATACTCCCTCCTCCCTCCCTTCACGCGGATATTACTCACAATTTCATCATGGGTTTTAATTTTTTTGCACAGATCCTTGATTATTTTTCTAAAATAAAAGTAGCCTATGTTACTCCTTATAACGTCAGCTAAGATAGCTAGATTTTCATACGCATTTAGTAAAAAGCCGTTATTTTGACATTACAAACATGCACTTTAATTTTATTTTTCTGTATACTCATAAATATTGTAGACTAGCAGCTCACTCTCGCTTCATTCGGGTTCGCCTCTAGACATACAAAGACAAATCTATCCCACGGGAACCGTACATTTTTCCGGAATAAAAAGTAGCCTATTTGTTATTCTGATATATGAACTATATTATGGTAAAGTTTCATTTAAAACCGATCATAGCTTTTGTGTACTGAGCTGTATAAGTTACTATAGTTTTTTAACTATTCCACGGGAACTCTTAAATTTTCCGAGAAAAAAAGTATCTAAAAAATTGACCGGGGATATAAGGTAACGCCATGCAAAATTTCATTTAAATCGGTCTAACAGCTTCGGAGATTAGCTCGTACAAACAGACAAACAGAGAAAGAAAAATTTTGAAAAAAATCTGGATTTGTTCTACTTCTCTTCTTATAAAAAATGACTCGGTTTTTAACAGTTTTTTTCTATGTACAGACATTCGACCTCTACAGTTTTATTATATTTTATATAGATGTGTAATAAAAGATGCAATACGAAAACATATATTATTTGTGAAGATCTCTGCCTCGTTGCCTATACCGCTATGGATCGGAAACCCATGAGTCTGAGTCTTAATAGTTTAAGACTAATTATAATAATTTGATAGTTCAATTTCTCACGTTTTGTGTGCCATGTAATATATTTTGTATTTTTATTGATTTCTAATACTGTTTTTTCATATATGTACATTTTTATACTATAATATCTCGTGTGTAATAATGTTGGTCATAACGGTCACCATCAGCAAACAGCTAGTACACCACTTATGCTGAATAAGTAGGTACTCTTATTTATTCTAAAATGAACTAGCTGATAAGCAATAAAAATAATATATACATATTTTTCTAGACAAAGTTTTACGTGATAAAATCCGTTTGGAACTGGAGTTTATTAACAAAGTTACTGGTTTACGTTTTCTGGAGATACCCCAACCACCAGAAGATGATAAAAGTAGATGGGTCTTCTTCATCAATAGAAAGGGTCTCCAAGGCTGTGTTGATCTTGCTTTCAACAACTTTACCACTGAAGGTGTACAGGTAATAAATATTGTATTCATAGATGTGAAAGAAGTTCAAGCAAGCGAACCATTGGTCTACCACTGTCTTATGATTATTATTATTATATACTAATCTTTATGCTATATACATAAATAAAAAAAAAGTTGCTCTTAAACAGATACTTTCTACAATTCACTTTATATTTATGTTTTAAAACAAAAACAAATCTATCCCACGGGAACCGTACATTTTTACGGGATAAAAAGTACCCTATGTATTATTCTGATGTATGAACTATGTTATTGTAAAGTTTCATTAAAACCCATTCAGTAATTTTTGGGCGAATACATCCAGACATTGATATATCCTCACAAATTTTCGCATTTATAATATTAGTAGGATTTTTTGTGTATATGTTTCAAAATTTAAATATAATCCCCAGAACATAAATCCCCATTACATATATAGATTATATATACTCGTAAATGCTAATGTTTTATTTTAAATTGCTTTAGAGAGTTGTTTTGGGTTACGATTGTCTATCAGACGGAAATTTAGCTGGTATAGTTCTAGCGATAGTCGGAGTACCTCCACAACATAATGCACCAAATCGTGATGAACATATCAAACTTCACAAAGAAAATATTTTGCCAGGTAGTAAAAAATATCATATTTTTTTAAAGTTACGATATAATTCGTTTTGTGTTTATAAATTATCTAGAAATAGCCATCGGTCCTCGATTAATGATGATAAATTACATATATATCTATTATCAGGTACTAGATACTACTATTAAAAATACAAGAAACTTGATATGCAGTTTCCATTTGTAATAAATTATCTTGTTGCAGATAAATTGTACTTATTTGAAATTTTAAAGGATGATGAGTGGCTTTTCCATGACATGCAATATGACACACATAGCGCTGGTCATTATCTTCCTCATCAATATACATCTAACGGAGCTGCGACGATAACGATGCTAGAATCAAAACGGGTAACATTTTTGTGTATGACTAATGACAGTCATAGCTGATGATAAATATTTTACCATATGAACAAGAAACGGCTTTTAATATATATAAAATGGCTTTTAATAATAATAATTTTTGTTCCTCACTATTGCATTGCAGCTCACTCCTGGATTTCAAATAAATTCTGGTAAAAAACTAAGCTCTATAGACATTAAAAAAATCAAAAGTCTCTATAACTATATATCAAGACAACGAGAAAGCCCGAAACAAGTACCAGGGTGTGAAAAATTATTTCAACCTGGTTCTAATATAAGTAATTTTGAAGTTGCTCCTCCTAAGATAAAGCCTTTGAAAAAACCAAGTAAATATTTAGGTGTTGAAAACACAAATGACCAATCGGAAAAAAAAGAAACAGAAGAAAATGAAAAAGCATCTAAAAGTGATATAGATATTGCGTCTAATAAAGGTAACGCATATCAAGAGGAAAATGAATCTGTCGCTGAAGAAAATTTACCAAAAGAAGAAAAAACATCTAAAGAAGACGACAAAAATGATAAAGTTCAAAATACTGCTCAAAATAATAGTAATATTAAGGAAGATACTGATAATATTAAAGGTGAGAAAGAAAATAAAGACAACATGGATAAAAATGCATTAAATAATGTTATGAATGATGATTATGAATCCCCTGTAATATCACGAGAAAAGTATACTTTAACACATTTAGTTGATAAGAAGGCATCTATTTTAGATCGATCTGATTATCAAACAGGAGATGAACAGGGTTGATAAATATTTGCAAAACAGAAATTAAATAAAACGATGATTGAAATAAGTTTTTTTTATTTTAATTCGTTCTTGTGTCTAACACAGATTCATCACTAAGAATAATTAGTAATGTCAAGTATTCTCGTTAACTTAGATTATTTTTGCTATAAAAACAATTATGTAGCGTTCATTGAAAATTTTAAATAATTTCGAATAATAATCATTTACAATACCTACGTGTTTCAATAATGCTTATAAAGTTTTCTGCTATGATGAGAGATATTGTCATAAGAAGTCAATTAGAATAATTAAATATAAAGAATTCTATAAGGATCACAAATAAATACATTTTAGAAAGAGAGTTGGACTTGTTGATTTTGGACTTTCCGATTTTCTTAATGTATCTATTAAAGAGATTGAAAAAAAGATACTTATTACTTATAAATATTTATTTATATTTTAATTCTATCACATTAAACACACGTCTGTACATCTCGTTTCACGTAACAAGTTTCGCAAATCACTTCGCAGCACCATTTAAACTGACAATTGCAGTTTTCAGCCTCCTTTATAGTGGTTTGTAAGTAACCTCGCCTGCAGCACAGTTGGTCACAACTGTCTGTTCCCGCAGAACTAATATTACATTGACGTCCTTCAGTTCCTAAAGATCCAGTTTTCAGATTGGGTGAACAAAAATCTGGTGATTCTTCAGAATAAATTATATCTTTCTTTCCTGGTCGCTTTATATTGGGACTTTCAGGCATGAAACTGTCACCATCGTTACTAGATATTACCTGTAGATGATAACTACATTTACTTATGTATATATTATGTGATGTTAAGAAATACAAAAGCATGAAAATAAAACAGTTTTAAAATAACTTTGTATAAAGTACTGTGGTAATTGGGAGAGATAAATCACAAAGAGTCTTTAAGTACTGAGTCAAGTACATATTTAAGTATTTTAGTGTGGGAATATAAAATACGTTTTCAAATGATAAATTTAATTGTACTAGTTACCATATAAATATATAAAAATAAATAGTATACCTTAGCAGCCCCTTCAAATCTATCACGTAGTTTATCTCCAACTTCTCTAAACGTAGGCATCCGCCACCAACAAGTTCTAAGTGTACAGGATCCTGACAGTCCGTGACATTTACACTCTACTTTCATATTATTTTTTATCGCCTAAAAATAAAAAGTGTTGTTTATATTAATATTTGCTTGGGCAAAATAATAATATTTTAACATTAATAATAAAAGTCAAACAAAAAAATTATAATTATTTATATCAAACCTAAACTAATTCAAAGATAAAAAGACTTAAGAATAATTATTTATCATGTCATCAAATCATACTTTTATATTATTAAGTGTATATATATTATGTATTAGCTTAGATTTAATTTGCGCAAAATCACTGATATATAGGAACTCCCAAAAACTTACCAACCTCCCAGCATTATGATTGTGGAGTTTTATTAAAGTTTTTATGTCGCTTTTCTTCCTATAGCGGCTGTCCATGAATTCACGGGACTTTTGTAAGCCAAAGCGAACATTATCACTGCAACCGCCCCATTGCCATCTATCTGTTTGAACGGGGTTTGGAGTCTGCGGAATTTTCGTCTTCCCACGACGTGGTTTTGGTACTTCCTAAAATAAAAAAAAATAATCCATATTGATTGATTTACATTAATCTTATTTTAATTAAATAACTACCCTAATTTTGATTTAAATATTGTAAAATAACATAAATCGACAACAATTATGGAGAAAATATATAAAAATATTTCAATATCATTTATTTATTATGAATAAGTAAAGTTTCTATTTAGAGATTAGTTTTTGTAAATTTTCTCTTTTATTTCTGTGCTTAAAGCTTAAACCGACCTTTTCACATGAGCATTCTAAAAGCGAACCCGCAGTACATGCTCGTGTAATGGCATATGTAACACCGGCCGCCGTGATTGCATTCACGAACCCTGTTTCTCGTGTATCTGAAACAAAATGTTACATTATTATAGATTGTAATGTTAGATCTCTTGAGATTTGTCGTACAATGTTACATATAGTGGTAATATTACAGAGGTGTGAAATACATGTCCTCGTTAAGATCCGTCGAATCGTGCGATCGATTGTTTTTATGCTTAAATCATAGACTAGGACAACTAAGAGAATATTATACTGAAATTTAAGAATTAAATGTTGTTTTATCTATAATTTTGAAACGACGCTAGCTAGCAATTCATAAACGTATCTCAAAAAAAAAAACAAATTTCCTAACATTTTCTCTTATATCCTAGAAGAAAAGCCGATATGGTTCGTTCAAATAGTAATAAACGTAACGATTACGCAACAACGCTTCACCATTTTATGAACACTGCTGCCGATTCGTCACAGCGATGCTCTAGGGCTTGCAGAGAAATAAAATGCTGAAGCATAAAGCACCAACACAATGAGTGAAGCTGTTGACCCAAAAATCAATATTCACACGGCCGCTGTAATAAACAACGATGGGCTTCACGAATCGAAGGCTGCATCCATAAAACATGTTGACGTGACACACGGCTGGAAAGAATGGGTAGTATGTTATGGCGAGATGGATGATAAAATATATTATTATTATAATAATGGTATTTTAAGTGTACTGTTTACTTTGTTTTTCTTAAATTACTTTTCAGACTACTGATTTTTTTTAGTATAGCTAGCACAGATGTTACGAGTTATAGATATTTATTCCATATTTTGATGAAAATTATCCATAATTATAAACTAAATAATGTAAAGTATAACATAAGCAAATAAAAACTCTTATACTATTATCGTTTTTAAATACATCGTGAACTATTTTAGTAGTTAAAAATACACAATTGAAACTTCCATATTTAGTCAGGGTTATCATTTGTGCTTGTAGCTGCTAATTGAAATAATCGTCTTTTTCTGTATGTTTGCTCATGACATAATATTACTATTGAATGTTTAATATAATTCTAAATAAAGGGTCAATTATGTTAATAAAAAGTACATATTTTTTTTCGAAACAAAAAATGTTATATGGTTGTAAATATTATGGTTGTTTTAACTGTGCAAGATTCTCATAAAGGTTTGTTCTTTTGTCGTCACGACCATATGCAAGCTATAAGGTTGGCTATAACAATTAATGGTGGGTGAAACTGATGTTGGAATATTCAGATGGCATGAATAATGTGAAAATTGTTGTGCCCATCTCAATGAACTTCGGTCATCAGCTAAATGGACTCTGTTTAGGTCGATGACTTTATAATAATAAAATGATGATGAGTTTGATGATTGGTTATAGATTTTTTCTTACGAGTCCAAATTAATAGCGGATTTTGTTAAACTATCTATATATAAATACTCGATGGTAGATTTTTATTAATAAATCATTGAAATATCTATAGAAAATTCATCTAAATATATAAGCTTGAAGGTTTCACATTAAGTTTATTAAGTATAAGCAATTTTTAAGTTCGCATCGGCGAGATAAAAACTCAAGTGAGAGGGCTATTGGTTAGCGAATTTCGCCGAGAGATTTCGACGAAATTACATTCTTTTAAATCCAAGAGTAAGATGTAATTAATCCCAACATGTAATGAGGAAGTTGGAAATTAAATAATATCAGGTAATTGTTACACATAAATTTTTTGTAGCTACTCGAAGGAAATCGCAGGCATACCGATAGCTTTAAATAATTTTAATAATTGGATAAGCACCCTGTATCGATTTACAGATCATTTAAAGATCATAATGTTCGAAGTTTCTCTCAAATTACTGTTTAAATAATTATTGAGTTAAGCTTCGGTAGTAATGTTTTAAACGCCTATAACAGTATTCGTCTAATTCAGAATTTAAAAAAAATATGAGTAAAGTGGGTATATGTATGTATACATCTATGTTGTTTCAATTATGAAATATATTTAACAATATTTTTATACCATATTTAATCATCAAGTTTGTAGCATAAAATTAATTTTAAATACATATTTTTGAATATCATACTTAGAATACTGGTTACAGGGCTCGATTGAAATTATAGATTTATCTTTATCGAATTGAGCCTTTTCGAGAGATTCCTTTATTTTCATATAGGGGTTAACTCATTTTTGTGATAGTAGCGAGGCATTCATTAAGTTCAGATTAGATAACCAGCTTACGCAATGCGGTGCGGTTGACAGGAGATCGGCATCGGGCGCGCCTATCGATCCCATGCTAATTGGCCCGTATACCGTGGAGAGCGACGCTGTATCGTCGTTGCATTCCACCATGACCAGACCGCCACCCGTCCAAAGAGATACAGCAAAATTTATTGCACAAACAATTTATATAATTGACGTGCGACAAAAAAGCGAGAGTGCACACCCATCCAACTCAGAATTCAGACGGTAATTACATCACGTCACCGTTGTCGTCGGTGAATTTCATGAGTATTTTTATCAGACAGATTAAATTTCGCTGGACATCGTCGTGGATATGCTTCGGATGGAATTATGAAAGGAATGTCAATTTCGAGATATTTTGCTAGTCGTTTAGCGGGCCATGGGGAAAAAAGTGGCGTCGTCGAAGGGGGAGGAGGAGCGGCGGCATGGGAACAGATCCGCCCCGCGCGGCTGCTGCGAACGCTTTTTCTGCTACGTATCCTGCGCTGTCGATACGACAGCGCGGCCGCGACACTCGACCGTCATTATAAATCCGAGGCGGTGAGCTCAGAGCGAAGCATTCCTCGCGCTCCACCCGCGTTATGCGCTGTAATTATCGCAAAACGCGGTCCCGACTCGCAAATATGTCGTCGGGAACGAGGGACATGACATTCTCATCACCAAACGTTCCCGTTTTTCTATCGTTTCCAATCTCAAAATATGCACAGTATCGAGCCACTCCCACGACGTCCATCAGGCCATATATTTGGGAGTCGCTGACGGTACTTTTTGCTACATCCGCTGTAAGCGCGCGGAATGTCGGTATTCGTGTCCACCTGAATAATTCAGCGAAATTGTCAATCAATCAATAAAATCAATGGATGAAATTGATTCACACTTGTAGATTGTATGGCTTCCATAACGCGTCGCGTTTTTGCTGTGTCAAAATGCTTGAAAGTCAGTCTGCTATTCAGACCAGTCAATCAGGAGCACGTGCCCAGCGACCATCTCATGACAATGCTGTCTGTTCTTTTCTTGGATTGGATAATTGACAACTAGTTTTGTTGAAACAAGTGCCTACTTCAATGAAGGTAGGTGGAACCTCGCAACCGGTTCTTGCAGGAAATGCGCTGGAAGCGCATGAATAATATACAAGGGCACACAAACAAAGAAATACGGCTGTTATATTGTCTTTGTTTTATAACATTTCAAGATTAAATTCAGGACAGCTACTTTAAGATAAACAAGTATGTAGTTGTAATTTCATTTTAATATTATTATTTTGTATTTTTTTTTGTATAACAGCAATGGAAAAGTAAACTGTCAGGGGACGTCTGTCAACAGTATAAAAATGCAAATTTATAAAGTATATCAGAATACTAAAAAAATTAAAAATATTTTTTAAAACAATAAAAAAATTAATAATGGACGCAGTTATGTTATTCCACTAAATCATATTTACTGTTATAATTCTCTACACAATGTTCGATGAAGAAATGCTCGACTTGAAACTTGAAGAATTTTTGAAATTCGATTTATCCGATGAAAAACCTACTATTATCTAAATGAAATCTATAAATTAAATATAAGGTTTTTGTAATTGATTACTCATAGCTTAAAATTACAAATATTTTTCGCATTTACTAACTGTATACGACCTACCTACCTAATCTTTAGATCATATACATTATTCACTAAATGCCGTTTATGTGTTATCGTTTTCAATCATTATTATACTTTTATGAAGGATTGAAAATAACGAGCGCTTAGTTAAACAATTTCAAGGCAGTACAGTATTTCAAATATACGTCTGAATATCACATAATTATCACTAATATACCGTTCCAATGTTTTAATGTGTTTCGCTGAGCCAATTACAAACATTAATCAATAGGAACGACGACATAAATTATATTGATACAAGAGAGTGCGAATACCGTGGAGTGCCGCGGATGTCAAATTGATAGCAGCCTCGAGATCATCTACAGCCCATATGTGAAATCGCTGAGAACTTTGCAATTTTAATTTTATTTATAACAATGTAGTTCAAGTGTAAAGAGCCAGCGGTAACTTTTATTTATTGATATTTTGATTATGCTATTGATTTACGTACTTCAATCTCTCAAGTTAGTTTAGAAGGATTTTGATGTCCTGGGTTCGAGTCCCTAGCCAGGCATAAAGGTGGTTCTATCTCACTCAGAGCTTTTGGGATGCAGAGGCATAAGCCATGCGTTGATATCTTTAAGTAAGAGGAGTCGGAGTAAGTTATTACATATATATCGTCGGGAACTAGAATCTTGTACATAAACAAATTCTAGTCTAAGTGTTACTACAGATCGCATAATACTATAGTGTGTGTGAGTGTTAGTGTGTTGATGACACGTTTGGCTCAGTTTGTAGTATTCTGCTTGCTATGCCAGCGGTCACGGGTTCGAGTCCGCTAGGGACTTTCTTTTGTGTGATGATCACGAATGTTTGAGCTCCAGTCATGGGTGTTTATATTTATAATATGTATATATTTAAAGTTATATACATATGTGTAGTGTATCAACTACCTGGTATCCATAACACGTCTCGTAGCTTGCCTTGGAACTAGATGGTGCTCTGTGTGTGTTAATGTCCCAGCATATATTTAATAAAAGTTAAAAAAAGTGTTACTGACATTTAGCCATTACAATTGTGAAAAATTAAGGATCTTAGGGTAATTTTAGTCCTCATACATTATAATTTAGGGATGTCAATAGTTTAAAATACCTACAATTTACATGCACATTATAAACGCCTGTAAAATTGATGATGTTAAAAATGTACTTTTCATTTTAGTATTAACATAATTTCCC